GGGGGGAAAAAGGAAAGGGAGAAAAAAATAAAGAAAGAAACCATTTAAACAAGGCTAATTTAAAAACAAGGGGTGGGGGGGGGGGAACCAATGAGAAAGACAGAGAGCGGTATAGATAGACAGACACATAGATAGACAGGCAGACAGACAGACAGACGGACTGATGACGGATAAGTAATTATTACAAGTTCTTTTGTATTTTTCCCATGATAGCCTTTTTATATTGTCGTGTTTTTCCTTTTTTTAAATACTTATTTCTTTCTTTGTTTAATTCGTTAATCATTTTTTTTTTTTTTTCATTCGGTTTTATTGCGTTTTCTAACGTATTGCCTTTTCCCTGGGTTGTTTCCTTCAGTGTCGACTCTTCTATTACATGCAGTAATGCACCATCAGTTAAGGCATGTGAACATATCCAAGCATGGCACAATAATTGTTATATCTTCACAGTGAAGGTTGGCTTCAGTGTACCTACTGTTGTCTTTGTGAGGACCATATCTTTTTTTCCTCTGTGCGACTGGCGTACTGTCATCATCACTTCTGCCTTAAAGCTACGTGGGAAGGAATAATTTGCGATCCAGTGCACGCTGGACGCCAGTGGCTAATGTCATGCCGTGAAGACGTAGAGTGTTTTGAATGTTGTCGATCCATATTTTTACGGGCGTCCTCTTGATCTTGGACCGTGTTTTGTGGAAATAGCACCCTAGTATTGGGTAGTTATTAAACTCGTTCATCGACGATTAATAATGGAGTCTCATAATGGAGAAAACAAGAATAGTCACAATGCCTCCCCAACAGCATGTCGTACATGTCAACTTATAATGGAGGGGGGTGGTGGGTGGCTTCCTTCGAAGTCGGAGTGCATCTGCCTGAGAGGCAGTGAACTAACAGTCTGCATTCAAATAAGTCAGATATGTAAAATGGATGTCAATACTACACTCGGCTTCTGGGACAAGACTAAAATTTAGAGGTAAACGAACAATCAGAACTTTGCTCCTGAGTTTACAGCCAGTGGGCGCGAAGAAAAAGAAGACTACACTAATGACAAGGCCATCAGTTTTTTTTTTAATCTTCTTCTTCCTCCTCCTCTTCCTCTTTTTTTCTTCCTCCTCTTCCTCTTCTTCTGCTACTGTGCTCGTCCTAAAAAGGGATGTTGGCACTTTATGTTGTAGTTTAAAGCTAGGCTTCTTTCAACTGAACGCATATATTTTTAGAAAACTGAATTATTCGCCTTTTACGGCATGCATATTAAGAGGTAGTGAGTCTACTCGTTGTTTCCCCCCAACAAGACCCCGAAACTCACACGGGGGACCTCAAGAGCCACAAATGAGAAAATTCTTCTTCTTTGCGTTCACCAGCTGTAAACTCTCTAAGTAAGTTCTGTTTGTACGTCCACTTCTGCATTGTTGTCCTCTTCTTAGAACATGAGTGTGGCACGCGCATCCGTGTTTACAGATCTAAACTCATTTGTTTTGCAGGGACTCAGACTGTTTGTTACCTGCTCTATGGCAGATGCACCCCAAGCTTCGACGGAATCTACTAATTAGTCGACTCTTACGGACAGGGCTTTGGGGTTTTTTTAGCAGTGTGGGTCTGTTCTTTCCCCACCCCACCCCTACAATTACGCCCCATGGAACCCACACAGGGGAACGAGAAGATTCGATTCGTAGTTTACATAGTAGACCTCTTTTTCGCTTGCAACCTAGTCTGTACATTGTTGATTGCTGTGCTCTTTCTTCTTCTTTGCATTTGCCGGTAAAAAGCCGGTTGGCGTGTTGTGCTGCGACTTACAGCTGTACTGTGATGTGTGCCTCTTTCAGCCCAGCACATTTGATGGCTGCAGTTCCTTTATTGGACTTTAACGACACCGTAGGACCCCCCCCCCCCCCCCAACCCTACCTTTACTCAAGTGGGGCTCCAGAACCCACACGGAGATTCCGAGCTGATTTTGGGCTGATCAAGTCTGTGAACACATGTCAAATTCTAATTCCAGATTCCATAGAGATTAAAACATTTAACTACTGGTCCGGCAAGCAAGAGTGCTTAAATCTACGCTACTACGGCTGCTTGTCATGTATTGCCAGTATCAGATTCCCACAGTCCCTTTATGACACTTTGTTTTTACATGCAAGCCTGAATGGTTGATTAATTGCAGTATATTGCAGTACAATGGGGCTAATATAACAGGGTTTTTTCCCGATCTTTTCCTGAAAAAAAAAAAACTGCGGGGGGGGGGGGTGGGGGGGGGGGGGTTTGTACGTGGATTACAGAAATTAGTCATAGAAGGAAAGGTTATTGGCACGTTATGATGAGAGATAATGTCAAAATCTTAGTGACAGCTTGCAAATTTGATGGGGAAAGAGCAAAGGGAAGACACAGAAATCAATACCTGGAAGGTTCAACCACATGAAATAATCGAGACCAGAATCGTACCTCATCAGAGACTCGAGCGAGGTAGCAAACGGTTACTGCTCGCGCCTGTAGGCATGACACGTGCTAGTAAAGTCGCAGCTGCGACTTCATGGCGTTTCTATGCCAGCGAAAAGCCACATAGAATGTCTATCACTATAACTTGTTAGGAAAAAAACTGAAATGGACTGCAGTCTTGATAAAGCCACAAGCTTACACATGCATTAAATTCATAAGGCAGCAGTCAGAAGTGCCAGCACAAACTGTCCGAAAGTAGAATTGCAGTTCATCGTCGATAGAATCAGCAGTTACCTCGCACATTCTAATGAATCTACGTTTGTCGTGACTGTGTCCTTTTTTTTTTTTTTTTACGATTTCGAATCGCTGGAAGATTTTTAAACTGCACTCATTCAACACAAGCATGCAATGAGGACGTCGATGAAGATGGATTCATTTCCTACTACGCGGTTGGATAATAGAGAGCAGTAAAGAACGCTTGTGTGGATGAGTGAGTGACGTTCAACCCCACAAGAACTGCACAAAAAGCCATAAACACCCGGTGACACAAGGGTGCCATCATTTGAATACAAGTCTCAGAAACCCCATTCAACCCGTAGGTTATATTTAGGGGTGGCTTTCTGAGTCATACCCCAAACAGGACCGCACGACGAGCGATGAACACCCGATGATACAAAGTGCCACCATTCCGATGAGAATCACCAGGGTGCAAGTCCTAGAAACTCCGTTCAATCGCTAGCTTATATAAAGGACCCCGACAGCTGGGTGAGGGCTTTAAAATAAAAAATAAAAAATCTAAAATTTGCGTCCCACATTAGAACGGGAACTTTGTTGGGGGTGATGTGTGTTTGATGATGCATTGGAATATACTTTTTTAAACTCATTTCTAGGTCATCATTTTACCTGTTTTGATTTTTATATTTTCAACTTGTCACAGGAAATTGGCAGAAACCGATTGTGACGGAAGAGAGTCATGGATTGAGCATGCCAGAAGAAAGGATAGGAAAAGACATCTAAGAAACAGCAGCAGGTTGTGAGGAAGAACAAGCATTCCCTCACACACAAAGAAGTAATCACGCGTGCATTGAGTGTTGAGTGGATCAAGGGACGTAATAAGTGTACACAGATTTTATTAAACCTTCAAGGGGAATAACTAAAGAATGGTGTTGCAGGTGTTTGCAGTTGTGTTCGGATCTTTGCTTGTTGCAGGTGAGTTGAGCTGTTAATAGCTTTCAATATATCTAAATACTCTCTCTCTCTCTCTCTCTCTCTCTCTCTCTCTCTCTCTCTCTCTCTCTCTCTCTCTCTCTCTCTCTCTCTCTCTCTCTCTTTATCGCATTTAATCACTTGTTTAATCTGTCTTTTTATATGCACTTAATTTTCTCGCTATTGTATTATTTCTAATATATCCATCATTCTTACGTTCTTTTCAAAAAGAAAATTTTTTGTTATTTGAAGCCCCACCCTGGCTTTTGTCAGGGACCGCAATATAGGCAGGCCATAAATATGGCCAATTGTCTGAACGCGGTTTCTGGGACCTCTCCACGGTGAGCCTCATCCACATGGTGGCACATTGTGTCATCGGGTGTTTGTCGCTTGTGTGATGTCCTGGTGGTGTAGAAAGTCAGTCAGTCAGTCATTATTTCAAAGTTTTTCTTTTCATAAAAAAAAAAAAAAAAAAATCGGTCTAATGCCTTTGCTATAACCCCACACTATGTTCTATTTTTAATTGTATGTTTTCCTATACGGATTCGGCCTTTTGGCTAACATCAAAATGTAGCTCTGCTGCGCTAGTCTGGCCAAGAGGACCAGGATCGGTCACAACAAAGTCACTGGTGAAACCCAATCCGCATGAGCCATCTCTTTAATAACTCATACCACGCGGTTTCCCCGTTCAGTCTGGATTACCGACGTAACGTCCTCCGGGTTGTCGGACGGCCGGACCTAATAATGACCGGACCTAACCCTTTCGCATGAAGGGGGTATCTATAGCAAAATGGGAAAGCTGTAACGCTCTGTCCCTACCGTCGCAGGATTGCAGGCTACAATACAGCTGGCTGTCCCATTGAGACCCATTGCCAATTTAACAACATTGTTGATGAATACAACTCTTCCTCTTCTTAGCTTCCATGGACTGTAAGCAATGGTGAAAAGTTCTGGATGTTTACCAATTTGTAGACTTTGGCCTTGTTCTAGAACTTGAGTTTTGTGTGTACATCCTTTTCACAGACCTGGCTTTTTTGTATGCAGACTGTTAGTTCCATGTCTTTTGGGCAAATGAACACCTACCAAGGAAACACCTCTAATTAACCGTCTTCTACGACATGATTGTTGCGGTGAAAAAAGGGGGGGGGGCAGTGAGTCTACACCCCGCCCCCTTTTTGAATTGTATCCCGGAACTAAAACGGGGAAAAAAGACAACTAGGGGTTTGCTAAAATCTGATTTATTGGGCCAAAAGGCGCAAATATTGTAGCCTAGTTGTAAACCACATCACACGTATCGTATCGTATAAAATCAAACAAAAATTTCAAACTTAGTCCTTTTTTAGCCGCCTGATGGCCTGCTTTTTCAAGGACGGTTCCTTTGCTATCTTATTTTATTTATATTCCTTGTGGTGATCACTTTCACCTGAGTTTGTTCATTTGTTGCCTAAGTTCTGGTTCTGAGGGGCAATGTTTAATTGGCTATTCGCTAGCTTTTGCACTGTTCATCTGTGTTAGCACCCAAGTCAGTTTGAAGTCACACCGCCACGAAACAAACAGTTCCGCATACTGAGCGCCCTAAGACACGGCCCCCACAGGACGACTGTCACAATCTTGTTGTTGTGTTGCAGCCGTTAGATAAGTAGAGAGGTAACAAAGGTTGCAAAAAAATTAGAACGCCCGAAGGTGCAAAGATATTGTATAGCTAGGTCGGAAGTTGGAGAGAGACAGATAGCTTGCTAGGTGGAGGAAGAGGTCTTGGTGGGTTGAGTCCTGCACACTGCCTGCTCTGCCTGGGTGGATCTGAAAATAGACTGATTTACATTTTAGATATATGTGGGGAGGGACGGGTGAGGTAATCAGAGTAGCACTGTGCTAACTGCTCTTTTAAGACTACACATAAGAAGAAGAAGAATTTAATATTGATGATGATTATAAGTAGAACATTATGTACAGCAATGAGAAGGAGACAAAGTTATTGTGATGAGAAGAAGAAAAAAAAGCACTGGAAAATATCGTGACGACTGGAGAGATTATTGGTAGAGGCAGACCAAGAGAAAAGATGGTGGATGGCTCAAGACAGTTTCATGGAGAAATATCATCAGTGGAATTGATACAGGACACCAGAGACTGAGATCTGTGGAACTGCATGAACGCCTGCGCCAGCTGGTAAGGCACCTAATGATGATTATAATAGGTAATGCAGATTTTTTAAATGTAAATACAGTGGTGTTGGTGACCAGTTTCATTGTGATGATGATGTTATTGGGTGAAGGTGATGCTGTTTTAGGAGGACCAGAATCAGAGTTGATTGTGATATGATTTGGATGAGAAAAATTATGATTGTTTTTAATTATGTTAATCAAAGCTGATTTTGTTGGGGGGGGGGGGGGGGGGGGAGAGAGATTATTACGATGGGGATAGTCAAAGTTAATTATCATTGGAAACAATAATTGTTTTGGGTGTGAAAATCTAAGTTGATTGTGGTGGGAAAAATGATTGGTATGATATTTATTGGTGAATAATAATAATTACTAAAATGGTGATTGTCGTTTTGATATTTGAAGTAGATGATGGCATTTGACTGTGCTTGCTTTCAGTACATTGTAAACAGCACTTTCAAGAAGTTCCTAAAGACACAAATGTGATTCGTGGGCAGACTGCAGTGCTTAGGTGCGTCATTGGAGACAGAAAGGGAGCCGTACAATGGACCAAGGATGGATTCTCATTGGGTAAGACATAGCACTGTTATAAAAATAAGTCTTTAAAAGTTTTTAATAAAAAAAAATACCACTGCCGTTTGGGGATATTGGTGCTAGACTTATTTATTTATGGACCAAGGACTGGTTGATATGTACTGTTGTCTGGTTGGTTTTGTTTTTTCTTTTTCTGGCGGTAAGCAGATGTCCTGGCACATTTTTAATGCATCACATTTTTTAGACACTTTTTTCTTCTTTTTTTTTTTTTAATTAAAATCTTTTTTTTTTTTTTTTTTAGTACCTGTACTTTTTCTAGACAAAAAAATACCCTAGCTATTTTCATTATCACACCAGCTACCTTTCTTCTTCTTGTTCTTTCTTATGTTCACTGGCTCTAGAATCTAGTATAAACTTTGTTGTGGTTGTTCCTCCACTTGTGGATTTTAGTCCTTTTCCAGAACTTTAATTTTCTGTGCTTGTCCGTTTTTCAGATCTGGCTTATGTGAAATGTCGATTGTTGGATCCTTGCCTCTCAGGCAGATGCACTCCGACTTTAAAGAAAACCCCTAATTAATCAATTATTATGACATGCTTAGGAAAGCAATGAGGCTGCCCCCCCCACACACACACACACACACACACACACACACACACACACACACACACACACACACACACATGCCCGCATTAACACACGCACACATAGCTAGGCCTCGGAACTCATACAGTGAACCAGAAGCCTTTACTTTCCAGTACATTTACTGGTACCCATTTTAGGCCAGGTCAACCATGGAGTCCAAGATGAGTTATAAAAACATGTTGTGATGTGGATTTGGACACCACACTATGTCACTGGCATGTCTCCTTTTCTTTGTGTTGTTTCTCAAATTTCAAATTTAGTTTCAGAGATGGACATATACTTTTGAGCCTGAATGGTTTGACATGTTCCCTCTTGTATAACTGCATGCTTTTCTTTTTGAGTTTTTTCCTCAAATTTGGTTCTAGTTTCAGATAACTTATACGTTTGAGCCTTATTGGTTTTCTGTGGGATTGGGTAGTCAGTTTCACATCAGCTCAGCTTAGTTGTCTCTTACAGCACATATACTAGATAGCTTTTACTAATGTCTGTTTCTCTTTACTTTCCCAGTGAGACACTGATAATTTATTTGTGAATACCATTATTAGGTTTCAATCAGTCAGTCATGTGTCATCTCCACAAAGATTGTGTACAGTGGCTTTTCAACAAGCTTTATATATTGTCTTGTTTGTACACATTTTCAGACAGCTGTTTGTCCCTTTTTTATAGTTATGCTCCTATTTATTACACTATCTGCATCTTGCTTTATGGCCCTCTACTTTGCCCACAATCACACTTCTATTTACTTACTTATTTAGTAAGTCCTCTTCTACCCTGTGGTGTAAAGGTAATCACAGTTTTCTAGAGTGTTATGTCTTTTAATGTAGCCGATATCTTTCCCTGTAAATTTTTTAAAATTCCTCTAGTAATTTTTTGTCATTCTCAGTCTCCTTAGAACCTCTGTATTTTTTCTTCTCTTTCATAGTATATGCTTGTTCTTAATCAAATATCTTTTTCTTGATATTCTTCTGCATTTTTCCGTAAAAGGCAGCTGGCACGTTTTATTATCATTTACAGCTTGACTGTGTTTTTCCTCGCCTTTCCACCCAACACATTCAGTTTCAGCACACTTCTAAATAGTCACCTTTTAGATCACGTTTGTTAGGAGAGCAGGGGGTGGCCCAGGAACCCAGACTGGTTTTTCTTCAGTAATTCTCTTTTCCTTACCAGTCTATTCACAACCTCTGTATTTGATTCTTTTTTTTTTTTTTTTTGCCCCATGAAATACTGCCTGTTCTTCTGTATAATTAATTAAGTATACACATCTTAAAATTTATGTTTTCTCTGAAGCTACCTGCAGACACGATATGACTTCAGAAATAATTTATCTTTTTCTATAATCATTATCCAGGCTTTAACAGAACAATCCCAGGCTACGACAGGTACTCAGTAACTTCCAGCCATGAAAATGAGTTCAGCCTGATGATTGTCAATGCTCACCTGGAGGATGATGCAGTCTATGAGTGTCAGGTTTTGCCTCGAGGAGGTGATGATAAACTGCAGGCCAGGGCATCACTCACAGTTTTAGGTAGGAGTTAGAAGAAATTGTGGTACAAGTTTATTAAGGTTTCACACTTTGTCGGTATATTGTACCAACCCCATATTTTTTATAAGGAAGTAAGTTCTCTTCTTCTTTTCTTTTGTCATCCGAGTGAAACCAGGTTACAGCCCAGTTTTGTGGTTTTCATTATTTCTCTTGAGCTTTTTGGGTGGGATTTTTTTCAAATTTTTTTTTTGCAGGTTCTAGCTACATTATTTCTCCATGCCTTTCTTGGTCTTTCCCTCCCAGATGTTTTGCTGTAAAAAGTCCTAAATGCAGTTTGGTCTAGCTGCATTCTCACTAGATGGCTGAGCCATTTCATTCTTTTTCTGTCAATATAATCTAGACATGGTCTTATTCCAACTTTCTGTCTAATGCTGGTATTTGTTACCCTGTCCTTCTTGTGTTGCTAGTGACCTTGCGGAGACAGCGCATTTCATATGTGGTTATTTTCTGTTTTTGTGTTCTATTAATTGTCTATGTTTGGCACTGATAGCATAATAGTAGGGATAAAGACACTGTTAATCATTATCTGTTTTGCTGGATTGGAGACATTTAAGTGTCTAGGCTGTGGGGCTAACTGGTGGGTGACACTTTGCCTTATGTATTCTGGCTTCTATCTCTCTGTCGAATCTGCCATCTTCTTTAAGGGCGCTTTCTAGATATTTGAATTTTATTACTGGTTCGATTGTAGTACTTTAACACGGATATACATGTTTTTATGTTTCCTGCCTATTCTCATTACTCCATTTTTTACTGTGTTTATTATCATGTCATACTTTGTGCAGGTTTGATAAAAGGTGTCAGTATGGTGTTGTAAATTCTATCCTTGAAGTTGTATTAGACACTGATCATCTGCAAAAATGCAGTTTTTTTTTATTTCTTCAATGTTTGTATTTGTCTTCTGTGTAATTATATCCATGTAAGTAATGAATAGCAATGGTGAGGGGACACATCCCTGTCTGACACTGATGAGATGGGAAATCAGTCTGTCATTCCTTCTATTGTTCTTACTGTACACTGACTGTCTAATTAAAAAGTCATGATTTTACCCAACAGTGGATCTATAGTGCCATAATTTTACTATTTTACATTTTCGTGTTGTATTTTACACATTTTAATGTCTGTAATAACTTATATACTATACATAAAATAGCCAAAATATCCTATTTTATATCCAATTATAACCCTGATGGATTAACAGGTTATTTTTTATGTTAAATTACTACTATTACTTCTACATGCATGTTACATTTATTTTTATGTGTAGTTGACATTCTCCTAAACATATTTCACATTTGTGTATATGTATCTTCCATTTTCACATATATAGCATACATTTTATTGCAGCTATTTCTGCTAGTCTTTTCTATCTGTTATTTCCAATCCGGGAGAGTTGTTGTCTTCTGAAAAATCGGACACATCGTTAGTATTTTGCCTGTGTTGTTTTCCATCATTTCACTGTTTAGATTTTTTCAATGATTGTGTCCAATTCAGCATTTTATGCTTCTGGTTGTTTTATCCTATTTCTCAAGAGATTTTGAGCATTGTTGTATGTTAATTTCTCTTTTGATGGGAGGTGCCTTAGAGAATTACTGTGGAAATAGGTGCACTTTTTTTTTTTTAAATGAAAAATATGTTTATCTACAAGATGATTTCAGCTTTAATGGGAAAGTGAGTGGTAAGATTCTGTCTAGAATCTGTAATGTTGTAATGAGGAGGTTGGCGAACACACTTTCCTAGCATCCCAGTGATCATGTCCTGGAGACAGAGATTTAATAGAATGTTACCGGGGTCTCTAAGTCGACCAAGCCTCACCCGCTCTGTCCCAGTTGTTAATTTAATTCCTCTTGTTGGTTCTAGATCCCTAGCTTGAGGAAGCATTTTGGTGGAGGAAAGAATACGCTGCCTCTTAACAAGCTTGTTGTATCAAGCGACTTCTAAGGAGTTTAACTGAAATCTTTTGATTTGGCCGAAAGGTGCAGATACTACAGCCTTTATGTAAACCACAGCACAAAATGCTAGTCACCCATCTAAAGGCAAACACAGAAGAAAGGTTAACTCCTTCTGTATCACAGAGCTGTTATTGAAGTTCTTCAAACCTAAGCATGGAATAGTTAAAGAAACAATATTTTGGAATAGAGTGATTTGAAGTAACAACTGTTTAGGGTTGAAAGCATTAAAATTTCACTTTACCTTGATAAGGATTCAATATCAGGCTAGCCACTGCATTACTACAGAACCAGGGGCACCGTCACACCAGGGGCACTGTCACACCATAGGCACTGTCACGACAGGGGCATCGTCACACACAGTCGAAAAAAAAAGGATTGTGTGGCTCAGTACATTCATTAATTTTATGGAGTGGGGTCTTAGGGGGCCTATGCCTTGCTTTAGTGCACTGTCATAATGGTAATTATTATTATGTGTTGAGTGACTGTCATAATGGTAATTATTATTATGTGTTAAGTGACTGTCATAATAGTTGCCATTATTATTATGTGTTAAGTGACTGTCATAATGGTTGCCATTATTATTATGTGTTAAGTGACTGTCATAATGGTTGCCATTATTATTATGTGTTAAGTGACTGTCATAATGGTTGCCATTATTATTATGTGTTAAGTGACTGTCATAATGGTTGCCATTATTATTATGTGTTAAGTGACTGTCATAATGGTTGCCATTATTATTATGGGTTAAGTGACTGTCATAATGGTTGCCATTATTATTATGTGTTGAGTGACTGTCATAATGGTAGCTATTATTATTATGTGTTGAGTGACTGTCATAATGGTAATTATTATTATGTGTTGAGTGACTGTCATAATGGTTGCCATTATTATTATGTGTTGAGTGACTGTCATAATGGTAATTATTATTATGTGTTGAGTGACTGTCATAATGGTAATTATTATTATGTGTTGAGTGACTGTCATAATGGTAATTATTATTATGTGTTGAGTGACTGTCATAATGGTTGCCATTATTATTATTATGTGTTGAGTGACTGTCATAATGGTAATTATTATTATGTGTTGAGTGACTGTCATAATGGTAATTATTATTATGTGTTGAGTGACTGTCATAATGGAAATTATTATTATGTGTTGAATGACTGTCAAAATGGTTATTATTATTATGTGTTGAGTGACTGTCAAAATGGTAATTATTATTATTGTTATGTGTTGAGTGACTCATTATGGTAATTATTATTATGAGTTGAATGACTGTCAAAATGGTAATTATTATTATAATTATGTGTTGAGTAACTGTGATAATGGTAACTATTATTATAATGTGTTGAGGGAATTAAACATCAGAAAACAAGTACTGAAATATTACATCGAGCCTGTTCTGTTGTATGGCAGTGAATTTTGGAATGTGATGAGCAAACAAATTAAGAAGAGTTCCGAAGCAGCTGAGTTTCTTGAGACGAATTTTGCGAATACCTTGGGCTGCTAGATTAACTAACAGTTATCGCATGGAAATGGATAAAGAAAGTAGAACATTATAAACAATAATGAGAAGGAGACAGACAAAGTTCTTTGCATGTGATGAGAAAAGGAGCACTGGAAAATGTTATGACGACTGGAAAGATCATTGACAGAAGAGGCAGAGGCAGACCAAGAGAAATGGTGGTGGATGGCATAAGACAGTGACATGTAGGAACATCATCAGTGGAATTTATCCAGAAAACCAAAGACCAAGATTTGCGGAGATGTGTGAACGCTTATGCCAGCTGACAAGGCAATTTGATGATGATGATGATGTTGCTGAGTGGCCAATAAGGACAATATTTGCAACAGTATGAAATATATAAAATAATACTCACAAAGACAGTTGTGTATATTGTTAGGGAACTACTAAGACCTTGACAGAGTTATGGGGGGATGGGGGGTGGCATTTAGACTACCCCTTAATAATAATAATTTGGGGAGGGGGGGTCAGACCACCTCTTAAATTATTGGCGGGGGGGGGGGGGGGGGGGGGGGGTTCAGACTATACACTCACCCCCTCACCCCATTATAAAGGTACCTGATCTAAGGTTCAGGAGCCCCTGCATTGCACCCACTCATCTGTTTGACACTGTCTGCATGAATTGTTTGCTTTTTTCCCAGTGCCTTGTGAACCTCCAGTGATATTAGGCTACAGCAATGGTTCCACGGTGGAGGTTCCTTTCACTCAGCAGTCGCTGGAACTCGTCTGTGAAGCTCGTAAGGGTCGTCCAGCAGCTACCATAGACTGGTACCGCAATGGAGTTAAGGTTAGTTTTCATCGTCACCTTTCTGATTCGATCACGATTTGCGTTGAAGGTAGAGATTTGTTCTTATCTGTGGTGATCTTGTTCTGATTTTTCTGTCTGTTTAAATGTATGCCATTTTCAAAATTTAGGTTGTCTGCAATGCATCCATTGCTGTCTTTGGAAATATTACACACTAAGGGTTTGGGAGGTGGATTAGTCAGGGCAATTTTTTTTTTTTTTTTTTTTTTTTTTTTTTTTAACGTATCCAGTAACCATGAGTTGTAAACCCTTTGGCTCGGTACTATGGATATCGCAACCCTTCGGCCTTGATTCCATTATAGGTACCGTTAATCTGGGAGAAATGTGGCTTTTCTGCCTACCCCCGGGAGTGAACCCGGACCACTAGGAGTTCGCCGCCGCGAAAGTCAGGTTTAACCAACTTCGCTAGAGAGCCGGGCTATATTTGTATATAAAGATCATTCAACTTGCCCTGACTCATCTAACAAAATCTCCATGAGCTTGATAATTACTGAGTATTAAGAGTCATGGTGAACCTTTCAGCTTTGTTGCATTCGGGTCACACCATATTTGCTCCATTCCTGTGCCAATGAAAATCAAACACAATATCCCTCACTGCCCCATTTTGTTTGTGAACAAACAATTACTCCCAGCGCGATCCAGAAATATGTGCGTGCAGAATATGCATATGACAGTTACTAGAGGTGCCAAAGCCAAGAGTCACCACCATTTTTCCATTGATGGAAGTAGTCGGGCATGATAAGTTGGCAGTATACATGTAAAATTATTACATAAAGTATTTTACCAGCCCTCACATAAACCGGCTACTGGCCATATTGATATTGAATACCACGACTTAGCTGCTGCACAAATAAAAGACATTCCACTTGAAAAACACAGCTCGTAGTGCTGCAATAAGCACTAAACTCAGTCGCTCAGGCAGGGAAACTGCAGACTTCCGTCCAAGTGTGAAAACTGCCTCAGCAAAGCGCTGTTGGAAGCAAATATAACTTCGAAGCTGAACATTCCGCTATGCCTAGTCCTCCATAGGTGACCAGAAGCTATCTTTCTGTGTCTTTCTTCCCCAAATGACCTTATGTTTATGGGATGATGGGCACGCACTGTTAATCACATGCTGTGTATGCTACTTCTTTAGTTTGCTACTCCTCCTGTGCTGTTTCCTCACTGTATCTCTCCGGTTTGTGTCTCATTGCATGTCTCTCCCCAGACTTCACTCCTGCTGTGTATTTCTTCCCAGAAGCACTACTCCTGTAATGTGCTTCAGTGTGCTGTCCTCCTATGGTACCACATTCCCCTCACCTCAGTGTGTTCACTTGTCATTAATATTGCCTCCTCACCAATATACTATGCTTTCAGTTTACTTGGCATCCTCCACAACCCAGTGTGCCCTTTCCTCCATAGTATGCTTATCCAGTGCAGTATGCTACCCAGTCATACCATTTCTCCAGTATTGTGCGCTCCCCACCCCCCCCCCCACCCCCAATGCACCACACCTGCACCATACTGTTTCCTTAATACCCAGTTCCCTGTAACCACTAAATCATATATACTATAGAAGTTACTATAGAAGTTAAGCCAGATGTTGTGTGTCCTATTATCTAATGCATGTTTGTTATCATCTACTTCACCTCTGCAGATCATGGATGGGGTTCGATATGGAGTGGAATCCATCGCTGATGACAAGAGAGAGACAGCTCGCAGCACAATCTCCATCTCATTGTCCAACAGCAAGGTGGAGAACGGGGCTGTTTACCGGTGTCAGGCTCGCAACAGTGCAGTGTTTGGACCACCACTGACCACCTCCGTAACACTGAGTATTTTACGTGAGTTGGTTCATTTAAAATCTTATCTTGCTGTATATATATATATATATATATATATATATATATATATATATATATATATATATATATATATATATATATATATATATATATATATATATATAAGGTCAGTTATACATTTAAAAATGGCTTCTACAAGTATGGCACTACGAGGAGTTACAAGGGGGTCTGGACGACACTCAACACTAAGGGGAAAGTCAAGACGGATATACAGTCAGACAGTTAATGGTACCATCGGGTTTTAACTCTTCGCTTGCTGCTGAAGATGGAGACGGAGCACTTATGGGAGGTGTCCCAAGCGTTGTGATGTCAATTCTCAGTTCAACATTCATTCTACAAGTATGCATTTCAAAGTTTGTCGAATAATTATATATTCATTCTTCTCACCAGCATTCACCAGCTGTAAACTAGTAGGAGAAAGTTCTGGGTGTTCATCCACTTCTGAACTTTGGTCTTGTGAAGTTTTGCATACACAACCATTTCGCTGATCTGGCTTATTTGTATGCAGACTTTTGATTCCTCGCCTCTCAGACAGACTCTCTAATTTAAAAAAAAAAACACCCCTAAAAAGTTACTTTTTACAAAATACTCTTTAGATGGGCATGGGCCTGTTCTTTTCTCCCTCAAAATAGGACCCCGGAATCCACACAGCGAAGTTATACCTCAAACAGTGGCTTCTGTAAATAAACATTCCAAGGTTTGTCAAATAATTAAATACTAAGTCAGTTATGCGAGTCACCGTGGCATAGCGGCTAGACACTCAAGTGCAGATTGGAAGGTCGTGGGTTCGCTTCCTGGTGTAGCCGGACTTTTTTTTTTTTTAAATGACCTTGACTCCTAGCCTTGAGTGGGTACCGGATGCAATCTCAGGAAGTAAAGGCGGCTGGTGTGATGCTAACCACATAACCCTCTTGTGCCGACTGGTCTATAAAAAAAAAATACGCGTCTAGCCCTATGTGTCCTTTACGCCAAAAGGCGCGGAAAATGGACTTTTACTCTTTTTTTTATTTTTTAACTCAAGTCAGTTATACATTGAAGAATGGCTTCTTCATGTGTACATTTAAAAGTGTGTTGAAAAAATCTATACTAAGTCATTGTTTCAGGCAGGGCTTGTCTATTCTGGTGGTTTGCATTACCAGTTCTGTTTTTTCTTGCATCATTTTCCCACCAAGCTGCTGTAATAGCCACATTGTGATGGGTGCCGGCACTTTTCAGACACTTTGTGGTGAGTACTGCACCTTTTCTTCCCTAGAAAAAGGCACTGATGACAAGCCTTACACTCTGACATCTCACTTAGTTTACTAGGTTTGCATGTTTAAGGCCTGTACTTTCAACCAAGATCTGTCCTTCTCTTTCTTGGTCTGTCTCTTTTCCTCTTTTCTTAATAATTGAAATGAAGGTTGCAAGCAAATGCTTACAGTTTATGGACTTATTCAGTGGGGAATATGAGTGTACAGCATGGAGGTTCTAGACATGAACATTTCATTTATGACAGAAGATATGTGATTAATGAACACAAAAAGAGCTTGAAAAGTCATTTTATGTCTATGGAGCTATTGACATCAGAGCACATATGGAACTGTTCTAGTATCAACATTTAAAAGGACATCCTGGAGAGAAGCAGGCAGAGAATCACCTAACAGGCACTGAAATGGGAAACAATGGATTGAGAAATGGGAACATCCAAGAAAAACCCAGGAACAAGCATTTTTGAGAGACCCAAGGTACTATATCAGATTCCATCAATGATATCAAGAAAAGGTTGCACAAGATAGAACCAAATTGAAGAATAAGACTTTGAACCCTCTGTGGCATAAAGTGACAAAACAGGATGATGACCACATTAGCCATGACAGCCAGATATGTTTGTGATGGGATGATGACAGCATCAGCCATGACCGCCAGACGTGTTTGTGACAAGAAGTTAGTTGTTTGACAGATATCCTCATTGCAAACTATTCATTAAGTGCTTGGACCCCCTCAGTAAATTCTGCAATGGGTGCTGACCAGCTGATGACACCAGTTCTTTGTTGGTTTTTTAGTCTTCTTTGTATAGTGCTGTTGTCTGGCCACACCCCTTTTTTACTTGCTGTTCTTGCAGTCTTGTCAAGGTTGCAGACCACAGTCACAGGGTTCATGGAAGTCTTACTTCTCTTAGAGCATTCAATATTGTGACAGAAATACTGTTCACTAATTATTTCATTTACATTACTTTCCAGTTCCCCCAGGGCCACCAGAGCTCTCTGGATATGACGACAAAGTCGTCAACATCAATGAAACAATGGTTTTAAGGTGCTCTTCTAAGGGAGGCAATCCTGTTGGCACTGTCACCTGGTACCGCAACAACGAACCAGTGGACTGGAGTTTCACCAGTGGAGGCAATCGGGCCATCAATGAGTACATATTTCAGGTCACCTCCTCTGACAACCTGGCCGTCTACAAGTGCCAGGTGACTAACTTGGTAGCCACTGAGCCCTTGACAGCGGAATACAAATTGAAAGTGAACTGTGAGTATATCATCATCATCTTTCTTCTTATTATTATTATTATCTTCTGTGGGAGTCGCCGCGGCAGAGCAACTAGACGCTCTGTGTGAATTGGAAGGTCGTGGGTTCGCTCCCTGGCGGAGCCAGACTGTTTTCAAAAATGACCTTAGCTTCCAGGTCGACCCAGGCTTGACTGGGTACCGAGGGCAGTCCTGGGAAGTAGAGGCTGCCGGTGTAATACTGACCACATCACCAGCTGTTTGGTCTATAAAATATAGGTCTAACCCTATATGCCCTATACACCTAAAGGCGTGGAAAAGGGTCCTTTACTTACTTATATTTTCTTCTGTTACTTCTTGTTTCCACAACCTTAAGACATCAGCCTAAAAATTATTATACCAGTCAGTTTGAGCATCTTCTTTTTAACATCACATGAGAATTTGTCATGAAAAAGATGCTGATGTACAGAAAAATATTCTGTCTCCTGCATTTGCTTCACTGGTAATAAAAGATATATTTAATGCCCATTTTAATAATTTCATGTTTGTGTACATCACTATTTCCTATCTTTAGTTTATTAACACTTGGCCCCAGCAGTGCCACTTATTTAGAAGTGCCATCTGTTACAAATCCCAGTAAAAGCTTTTTAACGGCATTGTTGCTTTCGAATGTAAATGCTAAAGACACATTTTACGAATTAGTTATTTAGAATACAAAACTAATAAATAGGTCAGAGACAAAATATACATATTTGCAAGGCATGAGGAGCTGATCTTAGCAGTGATGAAACTTCACAAGCTAGCTTGGTTCGGGTACGTGTTGAGACATGATTTAATTGCAAAGACTGTACTTCAAGGAACATTGAAGAAGAGAAGGGCAAAGAAGAACCTGGAATGACAAATCAAGAAATGAACAGGGCTAAGGTATCATACACTTATTCATCAAGCGGAAGACAGAGAAAGATGGTGGGTTTTATGTGCTAGTACTTCCATCGATACACCTCCCAGACCTATTGAGTCAACATGTTATGTTATATTGCATTTACCTATCTTTGACATGTCTAATTAATGTTATAAGGCTCTGTTTGGGCTTGCACATGGTTATGAGGGCGAGATATGTTTATGTTTACTAAAAATAGCATTTAGGAGATGCTTGAAAAGCTTCATTAATGTCAGCCATTATGAGGTCATAATTTGCCTTGACCTTCGCAGTATGTAGCAATAGGCTGACGAGCTGACAGTGTGTGTCACTCAATACATTTTTTAAGCCAGAGGGAATATAAAAATATATTTCAAAATGTGGTGTCCATGGCTTAGGCGTTGCGAGTCCGACTCGTAATTCCAACATACCGTGATCGAAACCCACTGCTGGCTGCGTGGAATTTTATCATGGTATGGGGCGTTGCAGGTCGACCCAGCCTAAAATGGGTACCAGGATGTATGTCCTGGGGAAGCAAAGACAGCCGGCATAATGCTGACCAGATTACCCACCTAGAGCAAATTGGTCTGTAAAAATATGGATGCTCTTCCCATATATCCGATGCACCTAAAGGCGTGAAAAAGAATCTTTCCTTACTTTACTATTTAAAAATATATTTATTACTGACCTGAGTAAACAAAAAAAAAAATTGCAGTTACAAGATTTTGAGCTTTTTCTAAAGGATTGCGTGGAAAAATGGTTAAACAAGTGGTACTGTAGCCTGTTTTCTGTAGAGCTTAAAGATTGCTGCTTGTTCACTTTGAGCTCTGATTATTTTTTCATGATCTGGGCAGTAAGAATGCTGATGCATCAGAGCTCAGACTCACAATCTTCCACAGGAATCTAAACCTTCCATGTTATTTCATAAAGTGTTTTTCACTGTTGTTTCAGTCCCCCCAGCATTTGTGAAGATATCAGGAGCAGATGAACCAGTCCAGGCTGGAAAAACTGTGCCTTTGACCTGTGTTTCATCCAACTCCAACCCTAGGGCTACAATAACCTGGTTTGCTAAAAATAGGCAGTTGCCAAAGAGTGAAGTCATAGGTAAGATGTTAACTCTAAGAATATTAAAATATGTAAGTCTCTGGCAGGTGTAAAGATGCCTATCGTCACATATGCAGGGTTCTAGTTTTATGAGATAAAAACTAACCAGCTTCATGCTTTTCTTCTTTCCCTTAGTTACACTTAGTTTTACACTTAGTTGCCACAGTCGGGGAAGTCATGGAAGCAGAGTGGCTAGTATGTTTGCTTGTGGTCATGAGTTCAAATCCGCCTTGAAGTAGATTTTAAATATTGCCCTAGGTTTCCAAGTCTGCTTCTTCTTCACTTCCTTTTTTTTACTGCTTCGGGTGTGAGGGAGATATAAGATTCTGCTTGTTGCTCTTTTGGCAGCCTCAACCATAAACGTGCTATTTTAGAATATATTCTTTCATCTTGTTCTTGGTCTGCCTTGTGCTCTACTTCTTTAGCCCTTTAACATTGCCATAGTTGAATACTATTTTGATTCAGTCCATTTATGTATAATTGTATTCTCTGCAGCTTTAATGAATCCATTGCTAGCTTGCTATGCATGTTGCAACTTCACCAGAGCCTCATCAACCAGGATGTTTCAGGTTTACCCAGGATGACTGTCATGACTGCCATAGCAGCCCCATGGCAGAAGGCCGAACCATACTTTGCCCAGTCCCCTACTTTGGCTCCCAGGTCAAACTGGCTTAATATGGGAACCAGGAAGTGTTCTGCTCCCCCCAGAGGCAATTACCTTGTAGTGGTGGGGGAGCTTGGGAGCCTCAATGATCTAATAAGCTATGCCGGCGGGAACATATGTTCCTGGTAGGGTCACCCAAGCTGGACAGGTCATTGGTGAGGGGCCAGACTAAAGATGGCCTCCCGGTCCTCCAGGCTCAGTGGTTGGGTGCAGTGTTGACAGCTCTGCCCTGTAAAAAATCTACAACGTTACTGAAACTTCAAGAGGAAATAAGTGCTCTAAACGTCCGGTGTTCTTGGGACAGAGTCCCTCTGTCAGCATGAATAACATGGGTGAAAGCCGAAAGGAAGCCCATGATGGGAAAACAAGTCTGCTGGATGTCAAAACCAAATTAAGAATTGGCTTCTGGAATGTAAGAACCATGTTTGAAACGGCAAAAACTGCCCAAGTAATTAAAGAAATGCAGAACTATAAACTGCATATTCTTGGAATTAGTGAAAGCAGGTGGACAGGGTTTGGACAATCCACAACAGGTACAGGAGAAACCATAATATACTCTGAAAGAGATTATAACCTACATTCTGCAGGCGTGGCACTTATTTTAAAGAAAGGTATACACAAACATCTCATCGAGTGGCATCCAATCAATGAAAGAATAATGACAGCACGATTCAATAGCAAACATGCCAAACTTACAGTCATCCAATGCTACGCACCGACCAATGAAGCTGATGATGAAGATAAAGAAACATTCTATAGGAGACTGCAAGAGGTAGTAGATAAAGTACCAGCCCATGATATTCTATGCATTATGGGAGATCTCAATGCAAAAGTTGGTAACAACAACATGAATAGAGAATTATCAATGGGAAATCAAGGATGTGGTACAATTAATGACAACGGGGAAAGACTGAGCGACTTCTGCACGGCGAATAGACTTGTTATAGGAGGAACACTATTTCCTCACAAGAACATACACAAGCTTACATGGATATCCCCAAACAGAAGAGATGTAAACCAGATCGACCATTTCATGGTTAACAGAAAATGGCGTCGGTCCCTACTTGATGTGCATGTCAAAAGGGGAGCAGATGTGGGAAGCAATCATCACCTTGTAGTCGCTCTACTACGACTTAAACTAAAAAAAGTTCACACGCAAGTTAAGACACAGACAGCACGTTACAATGTTAACCTTTTAAGAGAAAAAGACATTGCCACTAAATTTATAGTAGAACTCAAGAATAGAATTCAAACCCTATCAAGTGACCCAGAAACTCTAACTACAATCAGCATTCAAGACAGATGGAACCAGATCAAAGAAACATACAAACCAACTAGCAATAACATATTAGGAACCAGGAAACAACACCACAAAGAATGGATTACAAACCATGGACTATATTGCCAAGCGAAAAAGAATAAAGAGCCTCATAAATCACACTAAATCAGAACGTCAGAAAGACAAACTAATGTTAGAATATAGCGAACTAAATAAAATGACCAAGAAAAGTGCCAGAGCTGACAAGAGAAGATTTATGGAAAATCTTGCAGAAACAACAGAAAATGCTGCTAAAGCACATGATCACAAACCCTACACAAAATTACCCAGCAAATTTGCGGAAACAGAAACAACTATCACAGCATACCCATCAGAGATAACCAAGGCAGACTGCTCACCACAGAACAAAAACAAGACATGCAGTGGACTAAACACTTCTCCGACTTCTTGAACAGACCTGATCCTGAAAATCCCCCAGATATTCAACCAGCCTCTCAGGACATTGACATTATTACTGAACCACCAAGCAAACAAGAAATCCTTAAAGCTATCCACACTTTAAAGAACAACAAAGCACCAGGCAAAGACGAACTGCCAGCAGAACTTCTCAAAGTAGATCCCAAAACAACTGCTAGCATTCTAGAACCATTGTTCAAGGATATTTGGGAAAAAGAAGTGTTGCCTAATGACTGGACTGAAGGAACAATAGTCAAAATCCCAAAAAAAGGAGACTTAACAGACTTAACAGACTGCAATAATTGGAGGAGAATTACTCTACTCTCAGTACCAAGCAAAATATTTTGTAAAATCATCATAATGCGGCTTGAAAAAGGAGTAGATAAATGCCTACCAGTGGAACATGCAGGATTCAGAAAGGGCAGAGGAACAACTGAGCACATCTTCGCCATACGTAACATTTTAGAACAGTGCAATGAATGGCAGAGAAGTATATATATTAATTTTGTGGACTTTGAGAAAGCTTTTGACAGCGTCCATAGAGACGGTCTGTGGAAAATTTTACGACATTATGGAATTCCAAAAAAAATAGTCAACATAATTGCTCTCTTCTATAAAGACTTTTCCTGCAGTATAAAAAACTACAATACATCTTTCCCAGTAAAGACGGGTGTAAGACAGGGATGTGTTATGTCATCTCTCCTCTTCAACCTTGTGATTGATTGAATACTAAAGAACACAGTAGACAGGACATTAAGAGGCATACAATGGACTCCATTCACCATGCTTGAGGACCTTGATTTTGAAGATCATATAGCACTCCTATCACATAAACATGAACACATACAATAGAAAAGTAACAGACTAAACTGCACAGCAGAAATGGTGGGACTGAGAATAAATACAAAGAAAACTAAGATCATGACAAACAGTCCAAACCAACAACCAGTGACCATAAGTAACCAATCACTTGAAAATGTAGAACATTTCACGTATCTTGGCAGTGTTTTGTCCCTACTGGGAGGGACAGAGGAAGACATACAGTCACGTCTGAACAAAGCTAGAGCTGCTTTTGGAAGGATGAGGAAAATCTGGAAATCCAACAATTACTGCAGATTAACGAAACTCCGACTCTACAAGAGCATCATTTTGCCAGTTCTTCTTTATGGAGCGGAATGCTGGAGAATGACCAAAAAGGATGCACACAAGCTGTCCACCTTCCACCACACATGTCTACGTAGAATTATCAAAATTTTCTGGCCAGATACAATCTCAAACACTAAACTACTTCAAGCCACGAACCAAGAAACTTTAGACAGTATGATTACCAAGAGAAGATGGAAATGGCTTGGCCGCGTTATGAGAATGACTTCTGAAATACCTGCCAAAACAGCTCTCACATGGACACCAGAGGGAAAGAGACGAACAATGGAAAGTGACCTGAGTGCGGCATCTTTGACATGGAAAACTGCGCTGAAGATTGCACAGGACAGGAAAGCATGGAAAGTCCTCTCTGAAGCCTCATGTGCCACTAGGCATAATGAGAACTGATGATGATGATGAAGTGTTCTGGGAAATGAACATTACCAGCGTGATCTTGACCATTTCTCTCCCTAATTGTGTACCGCTTTTTCTGAATAAATGTGGGGCTGTAGACATAGAAAGAAGACCATTACATTCATTTTTCAGTTTAACTTTTTTTTTTTACCAATTCTAAACACTGTTAAAATGTCTGGTTGTTCCTCCACTTCTGGATTTTGGTCTTGTCCCATAACTTGAGTTTTGCCTGCACATCAGTTTTACAGATCTGGCTTGTTTGTATACGGACAGTTGGTTCCTCCCCTCTCAGGCAGATGCACTCCAACTTTGAAAGAAACACCCTGTAATAGTCACATTTCACGCCATTCCAATTGGCTGTGAACCTACAAAATGAAAGTTAATATTTAGAAGTAAAGTAACTGACTCTTTTTACACCAGTGGCACATCTGGCATCTGTTGGTAGACTCATATATGTAAACTAATTTCCTATAGTAGTGTATATGAATTGCATATTTGACTAGTAATCGTCTGTTTGTGTGTAGTAATGACTTCAGACGAGTGTAGATTATATGTATGGTAATGACAGTTGGTAGTGTATTTTAACTAAACATTTATGTGGTAGTGTATATTATTTATATAGTAATTTCCTCTTTTAATGTATATTAGTGTGATGTATGTTTGCCTCTAAATATATATATATATATATATATGTGTGTGTGTTTGTGTATATTAGTATGTGTATGCCAGTGTGTTGGGAAAAGAGCAGGCATAAAGACTGGCCGGTTCTGCACCACTTGCTGGTGAATTGATGTTTGACAAGCTAGACGTTGTCAGGGCCCTCTGAAAACGAATGAACAGTGAGGAAGCCCAAATAGATCTTTATTGTTTGAGGAGAATGGTGCTACAAGGAGTTACCGGGGGATCTGGCCAATGCTCAGCACTCAAAGGAAGGTCGAGATGGATACACAATCAGATAGTTACTGGTGCCATCGGAATCAGAGCTCATTGTTTGCTGCGGAAGATGGGGACGGAGCACTAATGGAGGTGTCCCGAGTGCTATGATGTCGATTCTTAATTCAACATTTAACATTTTTAAGAATATGCAAATAGTGCGGATCCTGTGTTTTCTCTTCCTGCTACAGAGACATTCAGCACATCTCCAGAAGGGGGCTACATCACCAGGTCAGAGGTGAGGGTCACGGTCAGTCACCAGGACCACAATAGTGTATTCACTTGCCAGGCAAACAACCCTGAGTTTGGCCAGACGGTTGCTGACACGCTGACCCTGAGTGTGTTGTGTAAGTATTCCATATGGGGGTTTTTTTTTTTTCTGTTTGCCTCAGTAAGTGTTTAAAACATCATATGTTTGAGACTGTAATTTGGACAGTTTTAAACACATTGGAGGACACAAGGGCAAAATAATGAGAATAAACTGGACGAAGAATAACATGTGAGAGAAAACTCAAGAAGATAAGGATAAGAGGAATACGCTGGGACTCGGACAGAAAGGAGCTGTTTAGATGCTAGGATAGGGACATAAAGCCAAAAATCTGGTGCATATACCAAAATTTTAGCCATGTAAGAGGTGCAAATAAACCTGACCACAAATATAATTGGAGACTGTTGGCAGCTCGAAGCCAGCAGCAGGTTGAACGTGGTCACTTTTTTTTAAGAATGGAATGGAATGAACAGTTTTAAATGTTGACTAAGCTCAGATCCAGAAACCAGCTGGATTACATCCTGACATTGGGAAAGGAAGAAAAAAACAAACGGAAAGAAATGTGCAAAATTATCAATCCAAAAAAAAAGAAGGAAAGCTAGTCAGCTTCACAACAGCTCAGTCACGAATGAGCACATTTCAGTGTATGATACAAATGGATAGTGGTTCACTTACAAACAAGAATACCTTAAATCCCTTTGCTTTGTACTTAGGTGTTTGAGAATAAGCTCCATAATAAAATCATGAATGGCTCAGGCAGAAGACACAATCAGAGAGGTTAGCATCCTTGAGAACATTAGGTGAGGAGAGGAGTGGGTCAAAGTGCAACCTGAACAGTCAGACTTGTGTAGAGTCATAATCACAGTGAGCCGGGAATGCAGAGACTGGCCAGCAGGTGCCACAGAGGTGGAAATTCAGCAGTTAATTTAAGATAATGCTTGCTCAGAGGATTTGATCATTTACACAGACGGTTCAGTGTCAAGAGGCAAAAGAAGTGCTTGGGGTTTCTTAGCAAAAGTTAATGGTCGACGTTTGGTGCAGGAGAGCCTAGCATATAATACCACAACATCCAGCTTAAGAATGGAGGTGGAGGCGGTCACTGCAGCTTTCTGCTGGTTAGAGAACACAACACGCACACACACATACACACATACATACATACATACATACATACATACATACATACATACATACATACATACATACATACATACATACATACATACATACATACATACATACATACATACATACATATATATATATATATATACATCGTGATTGTAACTGACTCATAAAGCATGCTGAGGAAGATCAGGACAGGCATGCTTCATCTAGAGTGGCATGCCTCGTTGCGGAGGACACGGGTGAGGAGTATTGTCTGGAGTTTTTCACCGGATAGAAGGTATGTTGGGAAATGAACAGACATACAGACTGGCTGGCTTTGCACAACTTGGTGGAATACTGATGCATAATAAGGCAGACATGGTTAGTGCCTTGTGTGAGAGCGTGTACAGTTCGGAGCAGCAGATGGATCACCACAGTCTGGTGAGATTGATGCAGCGGCGAGTGACGAGAGATTCTGGCAGATGCTCGAGGCTCAGAGGAAAGGCAAGACAGACGTTTATTCAGAATGCTTCTGGCTCCATTAGTTTCAGAACTCTTCACTGGCTGCTGAAGATGGGGACAGAGCGCTTATAGGAATGCCCAGAGTGCTGTGATGTCGGTTCTTGAATCAGATCAAATCAGTCAAATCAAAGCTCCATAATATTAAGACTGGGTTTGATCCCAGCTGCAGAGGATTTACCTGCAGACCACTTTGCATTGATTTTAACAATAGCATGGAGAGCTGACTGATTATAAAGCAGTGGTCAACTGCTGTTGCTGTATGAAAAACTGCATAGTGAAATCACAAGCCGCCCAAAAAAATTTGGGGGTTGGTTCTGTAAAAGGTATGCAGCTGACTTTTTGAAGTGGCATATCAGCCTAATAATGCTAGATTCATATTTTTGTACACCAGTCCAACTTCGACGGGTGATAATATAACGTTGACAATCTTTCCAGCCCAGGACCTTACCAGGTACCCATTTTAGGATCCTAAAACTTGGAAGCCAAGGTTATTTTTGTAGTAATAAAAAAAAAATGTTTCATCCACTTGACTAAGACTTTAGAGCTAGCAGTAGCTGCTGCAGAATTGCGGCTTCCTTATGGTGCTACCTATCTCAAAAACTTCATCTGGGCTTGAACAGCAGAAACTCTGCATTGAAAAAGACATGCAATGAGAAGACTACTGTACATGACAGTATACAATGATCTCCCGTATTTTATGTTTTCCAATACAGATCCGCCCAATCAGCCGGAGATCAGTGGCTACAGGGACTCCATGAGGGCCGGAGACCTGGAAAGAATGACCTGCTTGTCTGTGGGTGGTAACCCTCTTGCTGACCTAAAGTGGTATAAAGGTCAGTTGTTTATAGTAGTCACCTTGTGCTTTTTAACATCTGTCTGTGGTGGAATAACATTGTTACCTTTTTTTTTTTTCAAAACACAAACATATGAGGGAAAGAAATTAAGTAAGTCACAAATGGTTATAGTATTTCAGAAAAATGTAGCTGGTGGTCTCTAAAGGTGTCATTAGGTGACAGCAACATTAAACTTTATGTCTCAGTTTGTTAGGTGGTGCTAGGTGTTGCATGTGCATTCACAATGCAGAAACAAAATGGCGACTGTACCTATGCAGTGTACCCTCAAAGAACAATGTGCTGTTGTGTGTATTTTTTGGAGGGACGAAAGGGCTGCCTGCAGAGGACATTCAAAAGGAAATGCTTCAAATGTTTATCCTCTAAAGCAGTGCCTAGTTGGGTTTTTAAAAAAAAAACATTTTTCAAGGACCCACCTTGGCGGGAGACATTTTGCGAATGACGCAGAAGTTGAATGTGAACTGAAAATGTTGTTTAGAAAACAGAGCACGCAGCTCTATGCAGCAGGTTTGGGAGGACTCATAAAATGATGGGACAGGTGCATCAATGTTGGTGGAAATTGAAAAATAATGGGACAGTATATGATTAAAAATAACCGGTTTTCAAGTTGTTATCATCTTTATTTTTTTTTTTTTAAACAATCATTTGTGACTTACTTATTGACTTTCCCTCGTAATATAAAAGACACCCTGTTTTACAGGAACGGCTAAAGGAAACTCACTCCTAGGGCTATTTCTCTAGGGGGGAAAATGGTGTCAGTACTCACCCCCAAGACCTTGACTTTGGGGTAGACCCAGCTTCAAATGGATACCAGGTGGAGTCCTGGGAAATAAAGGTGGCCAGCTTGATGTTGAACACATCACCCACCTAGTACCGTTTAGTGATTATAGGTCAAGGTATACACACCACTGGTGTGCACTTGATAATTAATGGATATGGTTTATAATTCATGGTACGTCACTTGTATGAGGTCGTGACTTCTTAGGTAAAGAATTTATGGGATAAAGTCACCGACAGCTGTGTTACCAGTGCACTACAAGCAGGCTACATGAACATGAAATGCTTATTTAAGGAAAACTTTATTGCTGGACATGAGAAATCAGAGCCCTGGTTCTTCACACACACAAAAATAGAGTTGCAACTAATTCAGGTTGGAATTTTGGATTTGAAGAGTTGTGACTATGTTCCAGAAGATTTCATGACTGTAGTAGAATTTTGTATTTGAAAAGCATAAGATATCCCCTAAAATAAGTCCTGGTGCAATTTTTAAAGTAGAAAAATTAAATTAAGACCTGGTCTTATTTTAGGGAAAACATGGTATAAGCTGGACAATTTGGCTATATGTAGCTAGTAACAGAATTTTTTTTTTTTTTTTTTAAATGGCTATTTGTCATTACATGCCAGCTCTTCTTGTATAAGGTGACACACTTATTCGGGAGGCAGTTTACAAGTCTATTGGAAATGTGGCTCACTCAGAGATCGCAATAATGGTGAAGGCTGATGACAACGGAGCCACATACAAGTGTAAGGCTAGCAACAAGGCCACTGTCATCCCACTGGAGACCAGCGTGAAGCTCAACATTCATTGTGAGTACATTCTGCATCTCTTTTGTCATCATCATTATCATCATCATCATCATCATCATCATCATCTAGGCCAGTGTTTCCCAACCTTTTCTGTGCCATGCCCCAACTAAGCCTTTCTAAAATTCTTATGCCTCATATGTAACGTATATATCATTTTTTATATCCATTTTCCATTTTAGAGTTGCCACTCTTAACATATCAGATTGCCCCCTTAACAATCAAATTGCCCCCACCCCCCCCCCCCCCCCCTTCCTCGTGGGGCATAGGCCCCATGTTGGGAAACACTAGCCTAGGCAGCCAGGTTTTTTTCACGCTATCACAAGAATCACAAATCAGGTCGCTGCTCTTATCTTGCCCCATCCATGTGGCCAAACCATTGAGGTGTTTATCACTTTGCATTCTTCACTCATCATCATCACCATCATCATAAATAAACTATTTCTGCTGTTAAGCCTCATGGGAAGGAACAATTTGCAGTACACTGCACACTGGCTGGCACTCGCTATTGTCATGTTGTAAAGACATATAGTGTCTTAAATGTTGTTGATGCATATTTTTCTTGTGACCATCCTCTTGCTATTTTGGCTTCTGAGATATAGTGTCTGTGATAGTATTTGATGTTCCTGCATTCTAATAAGATGGCCAAACCACTTCATCTACTGTTTCTGGGTAAATCTAGTACAGTGTGGGGTTCCCATAATTTGTCTGATCTTGTCATTTTTTTGCGCCTTCTCTGGTGATTAGGTTGGTGGCTTTTCTGAGGCACCTCATCTGACAAATGGTGATTTTGCGAATGTGTGCTTTAGATATTGGGTCATTCTTCATTTTATTTGATAAATCCAGTTTTCTAAAATACATAATCTTTTTAAATCATTCTAAAATTCATAATCTGTTTAAATCATTCTAAAATTCATAATCTGTTTAAATCATTCTAAAATTCATAATCTGTTTAAATCATTCTAAAATTCATAATCTGTTTAAATCATTCTAAAATTCATAATCTGTTTAAATCACACTTGATCACTCGCATCATGAGGGCTAATAGACTGAAATGGCTGGGGCATATTGAGAGGTAAAAACTGTATACACAAGGGAGCTGAATGGTCATAGATCATGATGCAGACCAAGAAGACGATGGAGAAATAATATTCATCCAGACAGACCTACTAACAGTTGATATCACCAGCTGAAAAGAGAAGGCCAAACCCGAGAGATGAATGGAGGTGGGTGATATCAACAGCAGTGAATCTCAAGGGCTCGGAATGCTGAAGAAGAAGAAGTGTTATAAAATTATAGCTGTTATCCACTGTTACATTTGCTGCTGAAAAGTTAGACAAAATAATATATATATATTTGAGCTGGTTCTTTTTGAGATGAAACATCCTCCAATTGCTTTTGACTTTAGTTGCTACATCTTCTTTGCCTGCAAACTTCAATGGAAAGTTCCGGTTGTTTCATTCACTTCTGGACTTTAATCTCGTTCTAGAACTTTAATTTTGCCTGCACATCCATTTTACAGAACTGGCTTATTTGTATGCAGACTGTTGGTTCCTCACCCCTCAGGCAGATGCACTCAGACTTCAAAGGAAACTTCGCTAATTAATAAACTCTTAGACTCTATTCTTTGTTCCGCCGCAATGGGGCCTGAAACCCACACAAGGAGTTTGTTTATTTTAACAAACTCTGTAAAGCTGATATATACTGTAATTTCTTCCTGAATGTTTAGACCAGTATTCTCATATGCTTGAGGAGCAGCTCGCCGAACTGTTAGAACCCTGGGCTCTCAAATGAGAGACCTGGGTTCGAATTCTTGGTAAGGTTTGGGGATTTTTTTTCTGTCGGATGCAAAATAAAATTCTCACCTGAACAGTCGTGGTGACACAGCTAGCCATGTGGCCGTAAATCCTCAGGCACAAAGACCCCATGCCTACACCGCAAAAGTGGTATAATAAAGGCAGGAATCAGCAGTTTATTCTCCTATGCTTTCTTATTCATGATTGTTCCCCGCCTGTGAGATTAATCACTATCACACTTTCTCAAGTTCCCCCCTCACAGGTCACCATCACTATTAGCCCCTCCCAGCCCAAAGTCGGCCAGCAGACAGATCTGACCTGCGTCTCCTCATCAAGCAACCCGCCTGCAGAAATCATGTGGGTCAGGAATGGGCGGCATGTATCAGGCACCGATCTGGGTACCAGCGAAGCTGAAAATGGTGGTAAGAACACGACAAACCGCTTGCGGATTTCCCCAACTTCCAAGGACCACAATGCTGTTTATGGTTGCCGAGCAACTAATCGGCTGCTAGATCAAAGTGTCAATGATGCAGTGACTTTGGACGTCTTGTGTAAGTTTTAACTTTTTTTTCTTTTCTTTTTAGTTAGTTGGTTAGATGGCAAATCATCCTCACATCACACCCAATCAGTCCATAAGTACATGGATCCCCTCTTCAGTAAATCCCACATCATGTATCAGAGAAATTAAATTTTTTGTATCATGGTCATCTATTTCTGATTTACTGTTCTTCAAGTAATGTCTACATTAGACTAACTCAAATAGAATAGGAATGGTGTGCAGATATGCTGAATGTAAAAACAATATTTAAAACTAATGAGAGAGATAAACAACATAATGGTCATCATTATGTGACCTTTCCTGTTGAGCGTCGTGGAGGAGGAACAATTTGCAATCCATTGCTTGATGGTTAGCACTGGGTACTGTCATTCACTGTCATTCTTAGTTGATGGAGAATATCATTGTTGTCTTCAATCCATCTTTTTCTTACGCACCCGCTTGCTTTTATGCGAGATCTTTTAAGATGTTACACATGTGTTGGTAATTGGTGTGATTGCATTCTTATGAGATAACAGCACATTAACTGTGAAATGTGTCAAATTTAAATTTAAAAAAATAAAACAAACACTACTATAGTAAAATAGTAAGACCTTTTTATACCAGTGGTATACTGAGGTTAGATGCTAGATTAATATTTTAATAGACCAGTTGGCACTGAGTCTGTGATGTGGCCAGCATCACTTATATATAAATTATTATTCATTTGGCTATATTGCCTTATCTTTCTTACAGTTCCCTAAGATTATCCGCGTTAGCGCAGTCGATAGGAGGCTCGCTTTCAAATCCATCTGCGACTCGTTGCAGCCCACGGCCGGTGTTCGAAACCGGGGTTTCCGGGGTTCACCCAGCCTCTAGGAAATGGATACCAGAGTTGACACTCTGGGGTAAATGGAGGAACGTCGCTGTAGCTACTGAGTTATGTGCGGACGGCGACACAGGTGGACAGTTTCTTATCAGCTGCCCGTACTGGTGGCAGAGCACTTATGGTTTATAACCGTGTGCAATGACGCTGGTTCACATCTCCTGACTTTATCTTTTTAGATTATCTGCTTTTCACATTTTTTCCATTGTTGTTGGCTTCTTACTATTCATTTTCTTCTTCTGCATTTATCTTCTTCTGTGTTTGCCGTTGAAAGAGCACTTGACACATTGTGCTTTCATTTACAGCTAGGTGGCAATATATGTACTTTTTGGCCTGACACATCCGATTTCAGAACTCCTCATTGGTGCAATTTATGACATACTTGTTAGGGAGGCAGTGTCTGTTCTTGGAATTTACATGCTTTTTAAACCTTGAAGTGTGTACTTAGTTAACTATGTCTTTCTGCAGATCATGTTTGATGCACTCCAGTAGATGCTGTTGTACTTGACTGTGTGCTTCAAATTCTGTTTCTTTGTTACAGTTAAACCAGAGTTTGATAAGGACACAATACCAGATAAAGTTGACGCAAAGAATGGCGAGAGCACCAGTTTGAACCTCACCGCATATGCTAATCCACCTGATGTAGTGTATACGTTATACAAGGATGGGGTTCCGTATAATCTTCCACCACGCTACACCCTGAGCAGTGGGATCCTTAACATTACAACTGTGAGAAAAGAGGACAAGGGGGAGTATATGATCAAGGGAAGCAACAATCAAGGATTTGCTACTTTCAATTTTACTCTCAATGTGAAATGTAAGTATTCTTTTCTCACCTCTGGGTGTTGGGCTGGGGTTCATCGATATTGAAATGCAGATGCTTAAAAATCCATGAAGAAACATGACTGGCCTAGGTCATCTAAACCAGGTCAGTCCATAGTGGGCTGAATCATCACCTGGTTACAGTATGCCTCTCTGTGACATTCTTGTAATAACTATGCACATTCTGCTGGTTAGTCAGTCCTTACCCTCATAGGACTACAAGTTCCATGGGGTTGCAGTGGCCATTGCAGGTACCCTAATTATAATTTCCTTGGAGGTTGAACGGGGTATCCAGGCTTGCCCTGTCTGTCTGCCACCAGCACTGATATTCACAGTGTCACACCTTTAGGTCCTGTTGGTCTGCCATCCAGATTCAGATTCTCTGATCTCAGGGTGTCAAGACATTTCAGGTAGCAACCCAAAGGGTATAAATGAGAGAGAGAGCTTATCCTCCTTACCTCACAGAACTGCAGCCTACATCTGGTGCCCCATTTATTTCCCTTTTCAAGGTTGAACAGGGAAACTGGGATTTAGCCTATTGGCTTGTCCCCCAGGAGGAAATCTTAATTCTCAGGGGTCATCAAACCTTCAGGTATCAGTCACAATATGAATAAATAAACTGATAGTTCCTGCTTGTCCAATAAGCTTGCAGAGAGGAAGAGCCAACACATTTTCCAAGGACAGTTTGGTACCATGGCAGAATGAAAGATTCTACACCACCCTTATTCCAATAGATACCAGTCCTGTTTGAGACTTAGCTGACTTAAATTGGACTTTATAAACTCTTGTCTTCCAAAGGATTTGCAAACAACAATAGTACTTCTCTGTTAGATTTTTGTTTGGAGAATTTTTACAATTTGATAATGGTCCTAGACAACATAAAAGAGACTGAAGACTGACTCCCAGCTGCATCTTCAAAGGGTAGAGGATTGGTAACATACATAAGACCGTGACACACTCAGTTCTGGAAACTATTTACAGGCATATGTGTATAAAGAGTAGGGACACCCACTTTTTATCTTCTTCTTCTGCCTCCACTCCTTCTTCTTCTCTCCTAAATTTCATTTTAGAGCAAGAAAAACAAGAAGAGACACAGTCACCAGTGAAGAACTAAGAACAATGGTAGGCACAGTACTGGTGAATAATTTCACAGAACATCAGAGAATCAAATGGTTTGGTCATCTGGTTAGAATGTAATAACATCAGCCAGCAGCTAGAGCATACCACATGAGAATAGCAGGCTGCAAGTCAAGAGGCTACCCAAGAAAGACATGGATGTAGGGAGTAAAAAAGATGCTACACAAACACAGTATGACATTAACACAAACTACGCAACTAGCAAGAGACAGGAAACCTATATTTAGTTTCTCTCTGTGACGCTTTGCGGCATAAGCAGTAGGACAGAAGATGACTAAGATGAAGCATAGGACTTTAACCTACTCACACCAAGCTTTTTGTTTTTAAATTTCCTGCATTTCCCTCTATGTCCTCTCTGTTTGATTCATCTGTCTGAAATTCTCTTCTTTATTCTTGTTTTAGATTTTCTATCTCTTTTGCTCCCTATGTTCCAGTGAGAATACTTTCTAGCTATCTTATCATTCAGTTTTGTCAATGTGTTTCCTGCCCAGACCAGCATCTTTTCCTCAGACTCCCAATGTTTCCTACTTTTCTTTATAGATAAAAATTACAAGCAGTGCACAAGACTTAACAAATACAGTTCAGTATCACAACTACACCAGAATATAACTACACCAGAATCTGTGGGTGAGAGCACCTGACCAGACAAGGAATATAATGTCTACATGTCTTGACACTCACAAATTATTTGTATTGGTGGAGACCAAAGGTGATTCAGCTATTATTTTTTGCTTTCTTCTTTCTTCTTCTTCTTCTTCTTCTTCTTCTTGTATATTCACCTTTATATGCACTGTTTGGCTTGTTCTGTTGTGTACAGCTAAGTTGCAATATCTGTGTCTTTCAGCCCGACATATCTTATATTGTTGAAACCTGTCCCCCTCCCCCAACCTCTCTCTCTCTCTCTCTCTTCACTCTTTTTTCCTGTGGTTTTGACTTTTCCATTTCCCTCTCTACAGTGCTTCTCCAGGTTTCCTCTCTATCTATTTTTTAAATCTGCCATCTGTTGGAGAGCTGTTCTTGGAGCATTCTGCAAGCCTCTTCTTCTTTTGACAACTTTTGGCTGGTGTCAACTGTTAGTTTTGGTACTTCTGGTGGCTGCCCTTTGCAATTACTGTGTTTGCATATTCCTGGATTTTAATTGTTTAATTGATTGTTTTGTCACTGATTTTCACATAGAAGTGAAGTGCATTTTGTGTGATTTTTTTTTTTTTTTTACTGGCAGAGAAAGAGACCAGTTTTGAGGTTACTGTTTTGCAGTGAGTAAACCATGGTAGCATAGCAGCTAGAGGCTTGCCTGTCAGCCCAAATGACTTGGGTTCAAATCCATATCAAGTCAGATTTTTGTTTCTTCTTAAATTGGCCATGGTTCCCAGCTTAGAATGGGCACCAGGAAATGTCCTTGGGAGCAGAAGCGGCTGTCATGATGTTGACCACATCATCTCTCAAGTGCCAATTGATCAGTAATCACACTATGATGCTAATGGTATGCCAGATATGCCACTGATGTATGAAAAGGGTCCTTTACATTTATAGTAAAGTTGAAATATCGACTGATGACAATCTCTGACTACAGGCTATGTTCTCTTTCCTCTAGATGCGGCAGAAATCATCAACTTCACCAACAGGCTGGCTCTGAATGAAGGGGACACAGCAGTTTTATTTTGTAAAGTGGATGCCAACCCCTTGACCTCTAACATTATCACCTGGTCCAGGGAAGAGTTTGAGATGAACCGCACCAAGGCCCGGACAGAGGGTGACACATCTTATCTGACCATTGCCAACCTGACCAGGGAGGATAGTGGCACATTCAAGTGTACTGCAGACAACAGGGTGGGGTCTCCTGACACTAAAAGTGCCAAACTGGTGGTTCGATGTAAGTGTATCTGCTTGTGTGTCTGTCTGTGTGTGCAGTTATTGCTTTGTGCCTGTCTCCTTGCCTGGCAGGATGCAAGCTAGTCTTAGTAGTCTCATTTTCCAGCTCTTTCTCTCTCTCTCTCTCTCTCTCTCTCTCTCTCTCTCTCTCTCTCTCTCTCTCTCTCTCTCTCTCTCTCTCTCTCTCTCTCTCTCTCTCTCTCTCTCTCTCTCTCTCTCTCTTTCTCTGTGTTTTTCCTCATCCGCCATCCCCTCCCCCTTGTACCCTTACGGAGAGGTCTTATATTTATTTTTTTTTTTTTTTTTTTTGTTGCTTGCTTTCAGTTTCACCAACAATTGACAAGTCTCCAGAGTTCAGCCGTTCTGCTGGTGAGAAGGGCAGTACCGTTAGCCTTATATGCAAATACCAAGGTGCCCCTGAGGTCACTGTCACATGGAGCAGAGTAAGTACTTTATGATAAGTATAGAGTAAAGGAGTGATTGCTTGACTGGTTGGGGTTCAATCCTCTTATATTATGAGATTTTTTTCTTCTTTAGCCATATTAAAACTTTCAGTCATGTCTGGGTCACAAGCAGGATGGTGCGTCTAAGGTCACCATCGGTCCCCAACAGCTTGTCTTGTAGCTCCCATGGGCCAGTTCCCCAATCTCTGCCAGAAGTCTGCAGGGCAGTTATAAAGTACACATTCAGGATCCTGTCTGCTCCACAGTTTGTGCTGTCACTCTCTGGTCTGAAGTGTTTATTCTTCCTTCTCCCCTTTATCTTCAGGAGTAAAGCTGTCCGGAGCTTCTTTAGGACAGTTTGGATTTTTCTGTATGTAGCTCTTTGACGGGAGAGAGGCTGTGGAAAATTACTTTCTGTATTTTGAGGTTTCGAGTTTATGGCTTGTCAAGCGATTTTTATGTAAGGGGTAAATTTAACATTAAAGGACTGAATGTAGTTGTTTCTTGGACATGATCTGTTGTCTATAATGTAATTTTGTGGACATAATCTTTTGTGTTATGTTATTGTTTCTTGGACATGATCTGTTGTCTGTAATGTAATTTTGTGGACATAATCTTTTGTGTTATGTTATTGTTTCTTGGACATGATCTGTTGTCTGTAATGTAATTTTGTGGACATAATCTTTTGTGTTATGTTATTGTTTCTTGGACATAATCTGTTGTCTGTAATGTAATTTTGTGGACATAATCTTTTGTGTTATGTTATTGTTTCTTGGACATGCCTTGTTTATTTACCCCATAATCTTGTATTCTTTTATTTTCATTTGCAAACTTTCCTGTCTCATTTTATGTTAAGATAGCTTATTATTTTATATATTGTTCAAAATTGGTCTAGTTCTCTCTATGGCTGTAAGAATTTGTTTTCTGTTTTCTGTCCAGTTAACTCTTAGTGTTCTATGACAGCATTACATCATAGAAGGTTCAGACTTCATTTTTTTAGTACATATTACATACATGTCAAAGTTGTTTAGTGTTTCAGGCTGCATAAGGGTGAATATGATGAACAGAAGGAATGTGAAAGGGAATAATGAAGAATGATAAAATGACAACAGAAAGATCATGAGCATAGGGGGAGAGAATATAAATATGAAAAAAAAAGGAAAAGACAAAAGAAGATACAGATTTTTGACAGGACAGGTGAGAACAAAAAGAAAGAAAGTAAGGAGAAATGAAAGAAAAATGAAAGTTAATTAAATGTTTAATAAATTTAGTGAAGTAAGATAATCTTGTTTTAATAAATGACGTAATTACAGAACAGTATCCCCATCCGGTCAAACAACAAATACAAAGTGACAAGTGAAAAATCTGGCCAAGTGAAATCTGAAAGCTCCCTGAGAATACGGGACTTGGAGGCTGACGATTATGGAACTTATACGTGCACTGCCTCAAACAGCAAGGGCAGCGACTCTCACAGCATTACTTTGACAGGAACTAGTAAGTAATATTTTTATTTATTCCTGTTCTTTTACATTAGCACTTAAAGTGTATACAAAAGCATAAAAATACTCAGTTATTGGAGAGAGCAGGTACCACAACAGTTTATTCAGTGTTCCTAGTGTTCAGTTGTAGGTCGATGCTTTGCTGGGGGGGGGGGGGGGGGGGGGGGGGGGGGGGGGGGGAGGGGGGGGGGGGGCAAACAAATTATCACATTCAACCAGCATCCCCCAAATGGGAGCTTTAGGTTATAATTGTGACAAGGTTATGTGCATTATATAAAATGACTTAGCACTGCATGCCAACAAGAGCCCTGAAAAAGGACTCCTGCGGTGTTGATGCGATCAAAGGAGATAGACCCAAATACTGTCCTGACCGGCGACAAATCGTCTACTAGCAACCCAATGGGCGGCTCGTCGGCGATGTACAATGCTCACTCTTCAAAGGCTCAGATGGCTAGGTCACGCTCGGAGGATTGCAAAGGGCCTAAGGACATCTTATATGGTGAATTACAGATAAGTAGAAGATTGAGGTTGGCCTCTACTATGATATAAAAATATTTTCAAGCAGGACGTGAATGATACAGGTATTGAGGTAGATGTGTGGCAACAGAATGCCATGACTGTTTTTCATGGAGTGGGAACATCAGGAAGGGAGTAGGAATAAAATAGAAAATGTTCGCAGATAGGTTGATTAGGAGCTAAGCATCTGAGAAGAAGCATTTAAAAACTTGCAGCGGCAACATTGTTCACGATTAGGTTCTGCTAGTCACACTCACCATAGCCATGGGTGGTAATTTCCATGCCTTCCTGTAGCACAGTATAACACTATGGTCTGAAAAGGTGTCAACAACATAGTCTCTCTCTCTGTCTCTCTGTCTCTCTCTTTCCCTTTCCTCTCTCTCTTTTTTTTTTTTTTTTCTCTCTCTCTCTCTCTCTCGCTCATACACACACACCCAGAACCAAAACTTGTATCACTTTACAGTGCAGCATCATCATGTTGCCAGATGGATGCAATATTGTAGCCTATCTGTTTTGCCAAACTTTGCATCCAGGTCTTTCGTCTCCTCTTCCCCTCTGCCAAGTCCTGTAATATCATTTTGATATTAGGGTTAGGGTTTGAGTCACTGGATGTCAGTCTTTCAGGTTAGAATCCTGTGAGGGGGGGAGGGGGTGAAAGTTAAGGTGTCTTAATACTGATGTCCATTTTCATGGTTCCAACCAAGAGTAAGGTAGTCCTATAGCATCCATAACATACCATGAAGTACTTGGTGAAGTGACTTGCTACCTTTCTTGTTGCCTTTCCTTCCCAGAAAAACTCCCTGAACCTGAAATATTGCAAAATTATCTGGTGCCCTTTACTGTAAGGCTGGGTCAACCTCAGAGCCATACAGTCAGAAACAAGAATTCTGCCTTAGCTGAGGATTGAACTTACACCACTGTCTTGGCAGGCAGATTCACTAATCAGTTTACCACTAAAGCTTCTGAGCAGGATCATTCAATTAATTTTACTCAAGGGCCAAAAATTTTGGATAATGGGGATCATCTCATGCCAGTGTCCTGAGCCCCAGCACGGAAAGATTAATACAATACAATTAGCTGGTGATATAAGGGCCACTTGCTTGGCCCCTGCAGGCCAGATTTGACTTGCGGGCTGCCAGTTGAATCGCCCTGCTCTAGAGTATACGAGGACACAGCAAGTGACTGGTACTTGGTGTGTTTTGGCTGATAAGTTAGTCAGTTAATCTCCTTTCCAGCAGCACAGCAAACAACTAACCTCATAGTTGCTTTGTTCAGGTGCCAATGAAAATCCCACACACAGAATGCTCATTGCTGCCTTTTGGCACAAACTTGAAATAGACTGCAGTCTCAACAAAGTCAGAAGCACGTGTGCTCACACAGACACACACACATACACAGATGCATTAAATGCATAAGGCAGCTGTCAGAAAGTGTGTTTGGTCTGATCTAGCTAAGCTTTGTACGGCCCTTGGCTTAGAGGGTAATGAATATGTCTAACAATTTTATAGTACTTGAATACTAGGTTTCTGTTTCTGTGGTTGCATTTTTTTTCTTTTGAACTATTTGAGTCCCAGGGGGTTTAGCATATCAGATGCCCAAGGGGTAGTCAAGAGAGACGTCAACTCTGCACATCTTGTGTTCATTGGGCATCAAGGTAGGAACCTATGAACATATGGTGCATTCCTTGGGACTGAAAGAGTGACATTGTTTTCGTGGTTTTTAGACAGAAGTATGAAAAGAGATTAGGCCTCACCATACAGTAATCCGAAAGAGTAGCGGATACAAGAAGCCAACCTTCTTTGTGGAGAGGCTCACAGTTTTTTTTTATTTTACCTTTTTCTTTTTTTTTTTCAGGTAAGCCTTACACGCCCTACAACATTGAGTTTGTGAATGCCACCTCAAACAGCATCACCTTGACTTGGAAACCAGGCTTTGATGGGGGCCTGAGTCAGTCCTTCAGGGTCAGGTACAAACCTGTGGATGCTGTAGGGTACATTTACGTAGATGTACGGCCATACGGAGCAACAACGTACAAGATTAAAGGTGAAATATTCAACATTTTTTCTGTCTGTCTGTCTGTGTGTCTCTCTCTCTCTCTCTCTCTCTCTCTCTCTCTCTCTCTCTCTCTCTCTCTCTCTCTCTCTCTCTCTCTCTCTCTCTCTCTCTCTCTCTCTCTCTCTCACTGCATGTGTGTGTGTGTGCATGCAGGTGTGTGTGTGATTGTCTCTTTCTCTTCCCTCTGTTTCTTTTTTTTTTCTTTTCTTATTCTTGTGTCTTTATTCCTTGATGGAGCTTAGACCCTCAGTAAACACTTGTCAGATCTCCCTAGCAGAAGCTGATTACCTCATCTACTATATGTTTTCATCTCGTTCCCTTATTCTGTTCAATATGTGTTTAGGGTCAGTCTTTATCCATCCACCCCATGAGTTAAAGTACAAAGACATTTTATCTGTTATAAAGTTTTGTCAGTGTGCATCTTTTCTGTTGTCACTATCTTTTCTTTACCTCTTGACTTACTAGAATGTATTTAGTTTGTTTTCTCTAAAGCTACATTAGTAGTTGTTTCAGTGGTTCTTTATGCCTCTTTTTCATACAACAGTAATTATTTGATAAGGGTTGAATATTTTAGCTGGTTTTTTTTTTTTTTTTAAATTGTCAAATAATTCAGATGTCTTTTTTTTTTCTTGTTGCCTTCTTCAAGATAAGGTTGCACAGTGCTGTAGTTTTGTTATTTAAAACTGTTTTAAGTTAAATATTCCTCTTATTACAGCCTTTCAGTAAGTGGGGTAAATTTATTAGTGTAATGATCTCCTATATAGGATTTCTCTTTCTTTTAAAGATAAAGTAGTTTATCAGAAAAACATTATCCATTTGGCGCAAATTACCCATTTAAAAAAAAAATAGTTAATTCTTTGGGGGGAAAGGGTTTGAAACAAATACATAGGCCGATAATATTTTTTTTATTTTTCATTGATAAACATTTTTTTTTAAATTGTCTGACAGCAGACTGAGAGTGTGTACAACCAAGACAGAAATGATGTTGGAGATCTTGCATCCAACCTTCATTGGGGGGACAACCTGATTGATTGATTGATTGATCTTTTAGAGTTGAAGCCTAAAATTAATTAATAGTTAGGACTGAAGGAGTTTAACAGAAATAGTAAAATTAAAATATCATTTACAAAAGGTTAATATATATATATACATACATACACACATACATACATACATACATACATACATACATACATACATACATACATACATACATACATACATACATACATACATACATACATACATACATACATACATACATACATACATACATACATACATACATACATACATACATACATATATATGTGTATGTATATATATATGTACACATACTAAAAGAGTTAAAACTTCTACTTTAAAATGTCCTGTGGTTTTCTTATCTACAGGTTTGGAGCTGGCCACAGAATATGAAATTACTGTTCTAGCTTTTAATGACCGGGGAGAAAGTCCTTACCAACCTAAAGGAATTGTTGCCAAAACTTCAGGTAATGTTGTTTGTTCTTGCCCCCCATGTGGGTTCCAGGGCCTCAGTGAGGAGGAGGGAGGGGATGGGGGAAGACCAGCTGCCTCCCTAACAAGCATGTCATAAAAGGTGACAAATTAAGGGTTAACTGACATTGGATGTTTTGGACCAAAAGGCGCAAATATCACAGCCGAGCTGTAAACCACAGCACAACTGCCCTTTTAAGGGCAAACAGAAGAAGCAGCTTGTACCAAAAGTCATCCCCTGTCACATTCCAAAATATTTATGTGAAGAAACAGCAGGAGCTATAATAGTAAAGTGATGTGTGCTATTGCCTGTTAAGACAGTAGTGTGGGTTCAATTACTTGTATCTTTCTTCAGTCATATAACCATAACTTGTATCTTTGTCCAGTCATGTAACCATAACTTATATCTTTCTACAATCCTCTAACCATAACTCGTATATTTGTCCAATCTTATAACCATAACTTTGATCTTTCTGCAATCATATAACCATAACTTGTATGTTTCTACAATCATTTAACCGTAACTTGTATCTTTCTACAATCAAATAACCGTAACTTGAAATCTGTTTTTAAATCATCTTGCTATTTAAGATTCGCTATAGACATTTCATTTCCTTTGTTTTGATTTTGTGTGTGTGTGTGTGTGTTAATGTCCATAGTCACAACTTAGTCATGACTGCTATAATGCAACTGCTGCCTGATTTTTTTCCATAGCAGTGCAGTCACCAGCTGACATATCCACATCAGAACTCCAGGGCACAGACGAGATACCTGTCATTATTATACTGGTGGTGTGTATTGTGGGCGTTTTTATACTGACACTCAATGTGGGTCTTATCCTCTTCTTCATTAGACGACGAAAGAAAAGACTTGAAGGTACACATTTATATTGTCTCTGTTGATCACTATCATCATCTTTTTCAGTTTAGTGAACATTAATACAGTTTTTTTAACTTCACATTGTATGCACAAAGAAGAGTATTGAAAGGTATGGTTCCTAGAAGAAGAAGAGAGAAAATGTTGAGTACCACAAAGATGGACATAGGAGAAGGCGTATCTCCATGACATATTAGTCAGACTTTCGCATGAAGGTTGTTAGTTTATTTTGTGGGAGGGGGAGGGGGGGGGGGAGAATAGACCCCCTGAGCCTTATAACAAGCATTTTGTAAATTTTGACTAATTATGGGAGTTTCTTTCAAAGTCAAACTGGATCTGCCTGAGAAGCTAGGAACCGACAGTCTGCATACAAATAAGCCAGATTTTTTACAGATCGTGATCACGAAGAAGAAGAAGATTGCTGGAACTGTGAGGGTTTTGCTTTGGTGGTCCTATTGGCAGGCAGCTAGCTGTTCTGGACAGAGAGACTGAGCCATATGGGATAATTCAAAGTAGTGAAGTTAGTCCTCTCAACTTTTACTTTTAAAGATGGTCATTGGAGATGACAGGTGTTGTATGCAAAATCACTGTGGGATATAAAGAGTTAATGAAGCCAGGGCTTTGTGAACTATGGATACATGGACATTCATGTTGTGTTGACAAGTTTATAAGTGTAAACGTTTGAGCCACTTGCAGCTAGTGAAACAGAGGTTGCTTGATATTCACGGGTGACTGCGAAACATTCAGAGTTGTGTGTGTGGGGAGTGTGAGATCCATGTGCAGTCGGCCGCAGTTTGTGGTAGGGTGTGGTATTTGAGTCAGTTGCTTTCAGTTCGTCTAAATATGTGGATGTGTGTGTGAACTGTTCAAGTCCTGTGATAGTTTTAGCAGTGTTTTATTCTGTGGAGCTCTGCGGATGATTGTGGTGGATCATGAGATAAACTTCAGAATTTTGTCAGTGAGATTTCTAGAATGGAGGCTTGTGAGACCCATATGTGTTGGGGCCAGCACAGTTGGGGCTGTGTGGCATGTTAATTGATGGGGTATCCTTAAGTGTACAGAGAGTGCTGGGGAACTTTTTGGGGTTGAGATGAGGCTGATTAACAGGATGTAGTCATTTATACTTCACTGAGTGGCTGGGGTAGCAGACGGGAGATCAGGATTATTTTCACATGGTGGTGCATCTACCTTGAGTCCTCAAGTGGCTGAGTCTTTTAGAGGAAGAACCTTCAAAGGATTGTCACTGCTCATCATATAGGTAGGTGTATCTGCGCAGTCGGAGGATGGGTCGCCATAGCAGGCACCTGGTAGATAGTTCGTTGGAGTGTATTGTCCATGTCTAGAGAGACTGCCGATGTGAGTATTTGGAAGGCAGCAGTAGACTTGACAGTGAAAAATTGATCTTCAATTCATCTTTGTCGCATTGTGTTTATCCATCATAAAGAGTGTAGTATATTACAGTACTGCTAGAAAATGTCTGTGGTTACGATAGGACATGTTAGTTTGTTACCTGTGCCTGGCTTGTAGTGGTGCTTTTGTTTGTGTTGGCCCTTCTTTACTCCAGTTATAATCACCATCAGCATGTGCCGTACAAAGGAAGTTGAGCAGCATGGTTTGTGGACAGAGGGAATTCTATGTGTAGGTGTGGAGGACTGGCATTTATTTTATTTTTTTTTAAACTTGTAGATATTTGCCAGCATGTGGTGAAAAGTATTGGTCGTTTGTCTGCTTCTGGACTTTGGTCTTGTTCCCGGTCTTCACTATTGTGTACACATTCATTTTACTCTAGGTTTTTTTTTTTTTTTTTTTTTTTTTTTTTTTTTTGCTTTCTAGAAACAGATTTCTGCCTGGGAGCCTGGCCAATGTAGCTAGGATCAACCTTTCCATTGAAGTTGGAGTGCATCTTTCTAAATGGCAGGAAAAAACATTTATTTGCAGTAAAGCAGATCTGTTTTTTTTTTTTATGCAATCAACACTCGAGTTCTGGAACAAGACTAAAGTCCAGATGTGCACAAACAGCCACAACTTTTCACCTGACTTTTCATATGGTGAATGCACAGAAGAAATTCTTGCCATCCCGCAGCTGATTCTATATTATATTTTCTGTAATTTGTTCAGGAGCACACGATCTGGCAAACCACACAAACACATTTGAACTCTACGGCAGCACAAATAAAGGGGATCACACTCTGTACCCACCACCTTCAGATGACACCCGCAGTTATGGAACTTGTGACAAGAGCATGGATGACTTCTCCGATGAGTACATTCGAGACTACGATGTATGTAATCATTATTTAATTTGTTGTCTTCATGATTTATCTGTGCCTTCGGTTCCTGATTTTGGGAGTCTCCAGAATATTTTTGCCAATTCATGTTCCAACTGTGTTTTTTTGTTTTTTATTGCAACTTTTTAGCACATTTGCCTGCCAACCGATGATCTTGTGCTCAAATTCCCTTTGAAGTAAAAGTAAGGAAAACTTTTTACACATTTGACTCATTGAGCAAATGATACTAGACATACGATGCTAGACTCATTATTTTATAGACCTATGGTTGATGTGGTCAACATCATGAGGCCCACCTTTTCTTCCCAAGGACCGTGATATCCATTTTCAGCTGGGTCAGCCTGGGAAACAAGGTCGTTTTTATTTCCGAATCCGCCATGTGCAGATGTGAACCTAAGACCTTTGGGTTGGGAGTTGAGCGTCTAACCACTATGCTGCCCTCTTCCCCCTGGAACTTGAAGGGGAAGGGGGGGCATGTTTTTTTTTTTCTCTTCTTGGCCTGGGTGTCAACAACCATTCTCAAATGGACACTCGAAACATATTTTTTGGACGATAGGCATCATATTGACCACACAACCGATCAAGATTTCAAAAGCAGGGATTTTTTTTTCAGAGTGGTTTTTCCAAGTTAATTTTTTTACAAATTTATTAGCAACCTTCGTACATTTTTCAAGTTTTTTTTTTTCTGGAATTCCAGGAGGTCATGGACTTTTTTTTTTCCAAGTGTTTCAGTTGGGGTGAAGGTTAAAACATCTAACTTTCTCTTTTTCTCTCTCATAGTTAAATCTCCTTCTCTTCCCCTCTGTGTCTCCTCTAAACCCTGTATGTTTCTCTCTCTCTCTCTCTCTCTCTCTCTCTCTCTCTCTCTCCTACTTGCATCTCCTTCCCTCCCTCACTTCCCCCTTTCAGTCTCTGTCTCCTGTGTATCAAACTCTGGACATTTCTGTTTCACTTTCTCTTACTTACACCCCCCACCTCCTCAGTCTGTGTTTCCCCTCACCCCTCACAAATCAGAGCCATTGTGTACCTCTACAAATAACTATTTCTCTTCTTCCTCCCATCCTCTCACAGAGGTAGTATGACAGCCACATATTTTTGCCTCCACAGTCAGACTACCCGGTTCCCAGACCGTACAGCCCTCACAAAATAGACTCTCCCAGACTTGGTGGTAGTCATAAGATGACCTACATTCTGGATGATCATCCGGTCAGTCACTACTCTTGGAAGGAAGGTAGGTATTCTGTCAGTAATTGATTGTATGGTATGTGAATAGGTGAACATATGAATAAGCAAGTAGTCTCAGCAAAGGAATTACAGAATAGGTCATATTTCTTAGAAACCTCCAGACTTTAGTCCTGTTCCAAAATCTGATTGTTGCATGCATCCATTTTGCAGATCTGGCTTATTTGTATGCAGACTGTTGGTTCCTTGCCTCTTAGGCAGATGCACTAAGAGTTCAAAGAATGCCCCCTAATTAGTCGACTCCCGCGACATACTTGTTGGGAACCCAGTGGGTCTGTTCTGGTTTTCTCTACAATGGGACTCCAAAACATACGCTGGATTTCTTGGAGAGAAAAAAAAACAGTCAGCTAGAGAGGATTTCCTAGGTTGGCCCAGCCCCAACTGGTTACCAAGTAAAGTTCTGTTAAAGTAAAGGCATCTGGTATGATGTTGATCACATTACCAATTAGGGGCTATTTGGTCTCGACAAATGTTCGCTAAGCAACATATGCCTGATTTGTCACTTGTGTGAGAATGGTTTTTTTTTTTTTTTTACTTAATTACAAATGAGATAATAACATCCACAGATAAAACTGGCTGTCACCCAAAAATAACAATAAATGATGAAGAAATTGAAAATGTCACAAACTTTGAATATCTAGGCTCTGTAATAAACAGCAATGGAGACTGACATAAATTAAAAGGAGAATGGCTAAAGCAATGCAAAGATTGAACAGCCTTAAAAGTCTGGTTAAGCACCAGCAAGGAGATCAAAATTATAATTTTGAGAGCATGCATCTTCCCTGTGGCTACATACAGATGTGTGTCGTAGACTATCTCTGTCCTTGAGAAAGAGGATAGGGGCTTTTGAGCAGAAATGCTATAGAAAGATTCTCAGAATATCTTGGACAAAGAAGAGGAGAATTACTGACATCTTGAAAAATCTGAACATCAAGGCAGATTGGCTAATAAACAGCATCCTGTCTCGGAAGTGGAAATATTTTGGTCATATCATGCGCCACGACGGATTGGAAAAATTATAGCAGAAGGCATGGTACCAGGAAGAAGGGACAGGGGCCGACGGACACAAAGATGGGCACATGATATAAGTGACTCCTTGAGTTATGAAAGTACATGAGCCGGGAGAACTGGCAAGAGACCGAGTTTCTTTCAGGCAGACCGTGATGAGAGCGACATTCTGCAAAGGACCTGCTACATGATGATGATGACTAATGAGATATATTTGTGAGCAGATAAGTATGGATAAGCAAATATATGGACAACTTAACAACTTTCTTTTTCTTTGTCCATTTATTACCAAATATCATAGCTCTGGGGATGATGGTATACGGAAAACATATCTACATTTCCAGAGAGAGAGACGGGTTGAAAAGAGAGATTATTTTTATAAACTTTTATTAAGTTCGGTTTTGTTTGTTTGTCAAGTATAATTTCTGCAGTCAGTTTTTTTTTATATCTGATCCTACTTCCAGGTCAACCCAGTCTAAAATTGGTACCAGAACATATCCTAGAAAGTAAAGGTGGATGGCAAGATGTTGACCGCATAGCCAGTTGAGTGATGATGAGTCTGTAAGAACATGGGTCTGACATCATATGTCCAATGCACCAGTGGCATGATAAGGGTAGTTTTACACACAAAATTGACTAATTTCCAGTCTCATATTCCATCTGATCAACA